AGGGGAGGGCGCCCGCCCCGCTCCCGGCCCGGCTGCGAGGAGGAGGAGGCGGCGGCGCAGGAGGATGTACTTGGTGGCGGGGGGCAGGGGGCTGGCCGGCTGCGGGCACCTCTCGGTCTCGCTGCTGGGGCTGCTGCTGCTGCTGGCGCGCTCAGGCACCCGGGCGCTGGTCTGCCTGCCCTGTGACGAGTCCAAGTGCGAGGAGCCTCGGAGCTGCCCCGGGAGCATCGTGCAGGGCGTCTGCGGCTGCTGCTACATGTGTGCCCGCCAGAGGAACGAGAGCTGCGGTGGAGCCTACGGGCTCCACGGAGCCTGCGACCGGGGGCTGCGCTGTGTCATCCGCCCCCCGCTCAATGGCGACTCCATCACCGAGTACGAAGTGGGCGTCTGCGAAGGTACGGCCGCCCCTGCCGCGCGCCCCCCACCCCACCCTCCACCCCACCCCCCGACTTCCCACCTGGCCCGCGCGCGGAACAAAGTTTGCCTGAGACTTTTCCCCCGAGGACAGAGGGTTCCCGGGGAGGAGGGACCGTCGCTGTCCCCGGGAGGGTGCCCTGAGATGCCTGCCCAGCGGCGGGCGAGGTTGGATTGCGCGCGGGGGGTGGGGTGGGGTGGGGGGGAGCTCCCTCTCAACCCCGCATAGACACGCACACGTGCAGTGATCTGGGCTTACACTGGGTGGCCCTTCCCCGCCCCAAGCAGGGGTACCGCGTTCGGGGTGGGGGGGACGACACTGCGGAGGCTGGCACACGCCAGCCCCCTTGGGGAGTCCGCCCCTGCCGCCCTGCCCGCATAGCGCAGTGTGGCACCCAGGGTTGGTTGTACGCAGTCCGCGCAGCCGGCTTCTGAGAGCGGAGCAAGACCTGTGCTCCAGCTTGCACTCCCTGGGTGACTCTTACTTTTTTTTTTTTCTTTCTTTCCCTGTGCGCTCTTCCTTCACCTCCTTCCTCCTCTTCCTTCGCGTAATAAATCAATTTCAGCTCCGGAATATGTCAGACGCCCAGGCGAAGTTACACAGGGTGGTTACTCATTTATTGGCCTATAGGAAACAGTCAAAAGGCGTACTCTTCTGGATGGCTAAAGGGGGTGGGTGGGGGCTGCACCTGGGGTGGAAAGTTAGGGCTCACGACGAGAGAGAGGTTTCCTTTCATGATCCAACATCCGCGTGTTTCCTGAGCTGGTGCTGATGGCTTGCTTGCTTGCTTGTTTGTTTGTTTGTTGTTTGTTTGACAGCAGAGTCTGCTCTTGTAGTCTTCACCTCGGCGCATTGTGTAACGCCGTGTGGAGATGTACCGAGGGAGGGGTGGGGGCGTTGGTAGTGGAGCCTCCCTGGTTAGGAAGCCCTGGGGCCTCCATCTGCATGTGGCTCTACGTCTGCCTCCAGGTGCCCGATCTGTTTGAGGTCTGGAGAGACGTCCTGAGTTCTTTTATTTTGCTAATGGACTGCCTTGTCTGGTCCAAGTGGGATCCCTGCCTACTTAGACTTTGGGGGCCCGGTGACGTTGTTCCCGGTATCTTGCGAGTGAGCAGGGCTCAGCAGTCTTCCTGGGGTAGTGGCTGGGAAGGACAGCCTCCAGCTTTCACGGCTGTCAGCCAGCCCCTGGGACATGGGTTTTACCCTGAAGCATCCTTAGGTGTGTGTGTGTGTGTGTGTGTGTGTGTGTGTGTGTGTGTGTGTGTGTGTGTGTGTGTGTGTGCTTGCTTGTTGTGCCGGAGTACTGAAAAAGGAGGTGACGGCCTTAAGGACAAAAGTGGGTGTGTTCGAAGGCTTCGGTGCTGTGGTGACTCTTTAAATACACACACGCATTTATTTTTACCCCTGGTTTTAAGGTTTTGGACAGTTAGTGGAAAATCGGGGAGGCCTTCCTGATTTGGGAGCTAGTGGGCAGTCACGAGTGAAGAAGGGCCGTGTTCCTTGTGGATCGTGCCCTCATTTTACTGACACACAGAAACGGGGCCCCTCCTGGTGTCCTTTTACAACGTCGTGGGCTCGTTTCTCGGCTCAGGGGAAATGGTCATCATCAGGCAGGCTGGTAGGATTGCATGTGTTTGGACTTGAGGCGTTCTGAAGGACCTGGGACTAAAAGGTGTTTCTCCGAACCCTGCCGCGTGGAGGAGAGCGAAACTTGACCCAGCCCCCCCCCTCCCGCCCCCTGCCCCCATCAGACACGTAAAGAACCAGGAGCGTGTAGTTAAATGCGGGGCAGGGTGAAGAAGGACTTTGGAAGGCTCTGGAGAGTGTGACCCTTGTTTGTTTTTTCATGTGTTTCTGGTGAAGGAAATGCTTGGGGCGGGCGGTGGAGGGGGGGCATTTACAGTAATCAAGTGTTTTGGCAGCAACACCCCATGTCACTGTATGGAATGGTTTTTGGCAGTTTGTCCATCGGGGAGCCTGTCATTCCTCTGGAATGATGCATCCATCCCTCACGCGCTGCCTGTCTCCTGGTAACACCAGGTGCAGTGTGAGTGTGGGCCTCGAACATGCTTGGAAGTGTTTCTCCACATGATTGTATTTCAATTAGTGTGCTCTGGAAACACACCTCGTTTAGCGGGCCTGTTTTCAGCTGATTGCTATGGGCACATCTCGCTTCACCCCTCCCTCCCTCCCTCCCTTCCTCCTTCCTTCCTTCCCTCCTTCTTTGCCCCCTTCTCTTCCTCCTTCCTTCACTAAAAGCAACAGACAAATAGAATCTCAAACCCGTGAGACCAAGGTAAAAGAGACAGTGTTTTCTGGCCTGATCCTAGGGTTAGATTTAGAGAGGCCTTTTCAACCATGTGTCTAAACTTTCAGACAGTTTCACATTAATATAAAATGTATGGAACATATAAGTTAACTGAAGAACCTGTTTCTTTTTCTT